CCAGGGGAGCCTTCCACCATACTGTTCCTGGAAGAATGGCTCGCACCTGCCTTCAGCCAACACTCTTCCCTCTCATGGTCACCTCTGAGCTCTCCCTCTCCCAAAGCGCTGACTGTGCCATAGACCTCAGCACTTGCTTGAAGTCTGTGCAGCCATCTGCCCTTAGGGAGGGACTCCCAGGCCAGTCTGCCTGGCCAGCATGGCTCACGCCTCTTGAACTGGCTGAGGCCCTATCTACCCCATGGCTGGCTCCCTGTGCTGCAATCCTGCTTCCTCCTGGCTCCGCCCCAGGGCTGCCTCCCACAACCACACCTCTCCCATTAGTACCAGCTGCCTTCTCTCCAGCTACTGCTGGGAAGACTGACCTCCTGGAGGGTCAGGTAATTTTAATTAGATTTGCCTGCCTGGGGCAGCCTGGTTGGTCCAAAGCACATCGGGGAGCCCGCATTTCATGTCAATAAATGTAACAAGACCCTTTCCATTCAGATTAGCCTCTCAGCACTGACTTTGGAGGCCCCCTCCCAGGGCTCCTCCCAGAGCCACAGATGAAGGAAGGTAGGTCAGCACCTCCCTGTCCCTGCTGTGAGGCAGAAGGGCAGTGTGACAAAAGGGAGGGAGTTTGCTGGTAGCCAAGGTTTTATTTGTGTATGAGGATGAGTTAATGAAATGTATTGGTTCCTGTCTGATGTGGGAGTCAGGGGTAGCAGTGGGGGCAGAGCCTGTGTTTAATTGGATCATACCCGAGCATCATCTGGGCTAATCAGCAAGGCAACCAGGAGCTCCGGCTCAGATTAATGATTGCAGTCTAATCCAAGCAGATCCCATGATTGGATGCACATCCTGGCTAATTGTGTTTGTGGCCCAGGAGCAAGGATGAGGGGTCTGGGGAGGGAAGGCGGCTGGGATGGGGGTGGGTCATAGGTTTGGACCCAGCTGGGGTCTGTCCTTGCCCAGCCCCCACTCAGCCCTGACATTTTCTCCCCAAGAAGTTCTCACTGAATTCAGACCCCAACACCCCACCTGCCCCAGATGCCTGACGGTGGTCAGGTGTCAGGTGCTGTTTGAGACCTGGGGATTAGGTTGCCGGCTGTGCAGAGACAGGGCCAAGAGGGTGAGGTTAATCCAGCTTTCTGCTCTCCCTCCTCTCCTCCCATCTTCTTCGCTCCCCTTTGAAGTGAGTGGGTTCCCATGGAAACGGCGAGGTCCTGGGGAGCAGAAGAGTGGCAGGGAGCGAGGCTGGCCAGGTGCGAGTGGGGGAGGAGGGCAGCTTCGTGAGCCGGCTCTATGAAGGTGCTGGCCGCCTCCCCTACAGCGAAAACCGAAAACCTCTCCAGAGCCCGGGAAGTGGCCCACCTGGCAGTGCTGAAGAAGTTACCTATTATTGAGAAGAAAATGCCGAGCTGGAGGCGCCAGCAGTGAGAAAAGAGCCAGAGCAGTTGCACTTTGTTTCTCTATTAAAAATGCTGGAGAACTAGGCTGCAAGATCAGGGGAGAGGAGCTGGGGGGATGGCTCAGTGGAATAAGCATACTTCCCTGGTAAGCACAAGGGCCCGAGTTCAATCCCTGCATCCACCCCCCAAAAAAAAGATCAGGGGAGAGGGGGAGATAGCTTCTGTACTCAGTATTTCTCCTTTATGGCAGGACTCACACTTGAGTTCATTGTATTGTTGGCAGTGTCCCCCCACCACTGGACTGCTAACTCCATGACCACAGGGCCTCCTTCTTGCTCAGTACTTTGTCCCCAGTACCCTACAATTACCTTGTCTTAGCGTCAGAGGCTCCCACGAAATAGCTGCCAAGTAGCTTGTCCAATGGATTCATTCCCTAGCTTAGGCAGTCCCCCATAAACATCCTGCAGTTCTAGATTGATACATTAGCAAACGACCCCAGGAAGCTGAGGGGGAGGGGCTCTGCTTTGTAGCATCTGCCAACTTCCATGGTGTAAACGCTCCTACCATGGCCCATTCCAAACCGCCCATGGGTGCTGTCTAACCCAGCTGGACTGAGAGGTGCTCAGCCAATTCCTGCCAGCCTCTAAGTTCAACCCCCCGACGAGGGCCCAGGTCACAGACGAATCTTTATTTCTAAACACGTAAACTCATCCTCTGTGCTGATTGTTTGGGATGGCATGGCTGCTGCCTTTGGCTGTGGTCTTCGTTCTTGGTCTCACCATCTTGTGTGGCCTGACGCGAGATTCTTAGCTTGGAACACTCTCTCCTAATGAGTTAGTACTTGTCACAGCGTCTAGTCTAGTGCAAGTGTTTCATAAGTGTCTGTAACTAGGATTTTCCACCCGAGCCCAGGACAGTGAATTTTCTCCTCCAAA